GGTCGGCCGTGCAGCTGTGGAGTCCTGCTTTGCCTAGGCAATTAAAATGATGAATATCTGTATTTGCGTGGAAGCCTAAATGAAGTGGTCTCATCATAGTCTAGTTTGTGCAAACAAATATATAAATGTGTGTAGGATGCCTTTAGGCCAACAAATATATTTTGTGTCGTAGGGAGCACATGTGTTTTGATACAAAAATCTCTTACTTTTTATTCCTCTACTTATACTCTTTATTCAATAAAACGTGCTCTTAAAGTAAATCAAAGTTTAGCCAATTAATTATTTTTTTGGGTAATGAAAAAGATATTAGTTTAGTAAAAGTACTGGAAAAATTATATATTATTTTTAAGCAAATTAAAAATTATGGCCAAAAATAGCTCTTTAAAGTCTTTAATGGCTGTGTCAAGTTTAGAATACATTTTGTGCTTCTTCAAATGTGTAAAACTTTCAATGCCTGAAATTTATGAAAAACTAATAAAAGCAGATTTTGAAATGCCAATAAGTTCAGGAATACGTCTGCCAACATATCGCGCCCAATAAACTCATATGCTCGGACGGTAAAAGTGTTTCCTTTATCTTATTCTGTGCGAGACAAGAATTCACAATGGAGTTGCTAAGTAACCCAAATATATTTAGAAGAAATAATTGTTCAGCAATGTCAAAAGTTATTCAGTGATAAATTGCAGATACCCAGCTGAACCTATTTCAGATGAAGGCCCCATGACCCATCTACCCGTCAGGTTAGGTTAGGTAAGGTGGCTAGCATCTGCGTGGCTTCGCAGAGGGCATTTAGGCCCATAGCGTTACCAGATAAAATACGACGACATTAAAGAGCTAATTGGGGAGTACCAAGAGCAGTTTCAGTTGAAAAACATCGCACTCCTCTTGGCACATTGTGGTACCCTATTTTGGCGGCAGCATTGCCTACTGAGCTATTCAAGTACGCTGGTTATTCTTATACAAAATATAATAAGTTTCCGTAGTGCTCCTTGAAGCATTCCGGTTATCATATTGATGCACAATCCGCTTACCACAATCACTGTGGCGTCTTAGAAGAATATTTTTTAATCCGTAGAATCACAGCAGCGGAAATAGTACACCGCCTTACGGGGTCCCCTGCTTAGGACGCCTGGTAACTTCTCTGTTGCCTAACTTAGCGTTTACAATCATTGTACGAAGCATGGTTGAGATCCAGGAAGTTCTCAATTCCAGATCCAAGATCCAAAGGGTCAATTTCAAGTCCGACAAGAGCTAATTCCGTCTACAGTGTGCATAACTAAATAAACGAATATTGTTAATCAATTTGTTGGTGTTTTTTTTTGTATATCCGAAAATACAAATATTAACCGAATATTCGAAAAAATCGGATATCCGAATAATTGCACAAACGAATAATAACCGGGTATCCATACTATACGGATTTTATTCGTGTCAACGTATAAACCGCATGGATATCCGGATATTCGAATATGCGGATAGTTCCAGCCCTATTTATTGGACATATTGCTTTTAATGTGATGTGAAAGAAACCACAAGTAGCCTTGTATTACAACAAACATTTACAAGTAGCAAATCAGAATAATACTGCAAAGCAAAAATTTTTAGCGAAAAGAGATGAGTAGGTACATAAGTGAAAAAAATTTTAGTTTTTAATATGCGGACGGGCAAGTAGTGAAGTAGAAAAATTTCCTTTATTTTGTTATGAAAATAAAAGTGGATGCAAACGACAAAAGTAAATTAGAAAACTCTTGCATTTCACAGCTGTAGCATTCATTGAAAGGTCTTGCGTTAGAAGAAAAAATGAAAACTATTTGATTCTTTTCAAAACAAATTTCTTTACACTAGCATTTATGGACCACGACTTCGCACAGCTGCCTGAATAATTGTAATAATATGGCTCTAATGCCGCCAGTCATCATAAAGGCCTTGTCGTTCGCTCATTTCTTCAAGGGTTTGCCTTTCAAGACGCTTATGCACTATGCATTTAAAGGGCAGTTGGTGAACGTTTCCGTTCCACTTTTTATTTTCCGCAACTTTCCTCTAACAATTCTACATATATTACTCAGTATGCCACATTTTTACTTTGACTCTTTCCGCTACTCTTATTTTCATTTCATTGCTTGGGTCTGTTAATTAACGCGGCGCGTTGGCAATTGCGGCTGCAGTAAAAGAATGGAAGTAATAAACTTTAACGGAAATGACAGAAAGTAGCAATTACTGACTGTGCCGCGGTACTTTGTTGCTAAAGTTGTGTGCAGAAAGAAAAAATAAGTAATTTTTCTGTTGACCAATGCAGATTTTCACATAGAGAAACTTTTAAGATTTGAGACCTGTTCAAGAAGAAACAAGTGAATGACTGTGGCAGCAATTAGTAACCGTAAGTGGCGAGTACAAATTAAAATTTTTTTAGTGTTGACTAAGTTAGTATGGTTTAGGTAGCATCGCTTTTCGTTAAAGTATTTACAGTGAAACCCGCTTAAGTATCCCCCCCACTTAAGTACATAACCCGCTTAAGTAACCAACATTTTTGGGCACCGTGAATATTTTAATGTAATCTGAAGAAGATCACTCTCTTAATTACCTCCCCGCTTATTTACCCAACCCGCCTAAGTACCTAATTTTTTCGTACTTATTTACCATTTTACCAAGAAATTCTAAAAAATCAATGGTAATTTTTAGCCACTTGAAACTTGCAAATTATTACACTAAAATTAAATGGGCTATAAACAGTTCTGAAAAAAAGTTTGAAATTTTCAGTGTTATTAAAAAGTTTAAGCTTAGCTTTATATGGTATTTGTTAGAGAATGAACTGTGTTTTAATTGAAAAATCTTAAAAATTAATAAATAAGCATAAGTGGCAAACCACATCATTTTGAATTTGGTCCAAAATGATAGATATGTCCAACACTGTATGTATGTATAAAAATGTATAATCAATGACTTTAAAGAATTGAATTCTTGTAAAAGTGACATAACATTGCTTTATCGATTTTTGTTTTTAGTTTTCGTTTATGTATTTATGTGATTCCACGATCTTAGGTTTAAGCTACGTAAACTTCATTAATTGTTCATGTTGTATTCAAGGACTTATTTATGTTAGTTAACAAGAAGATAAACTACATTAATAATTATGTTCGCTTAAGTACCCGCATCGAAGTACTTAAGCGGGTTCTTTTAAGTACCCAACCCGTCTAAGTACCTCAAAGAGCTGACATTTTTCGTGAGGTACTTAAGCGGGTTTTACTGTACTCTTTAACCCATATTTTCGACCATAAACTTTGAAAGCCTCTTTCTCTGGAGTTAAGCTTTATTTTATTTAACTGTTTTACAAAATCCAATAAACATACAACTAGCTTTATTGTACAACAAACAATTTACAGAACTTCAAATTTGCACTCCGTAACTTTACTCGTAACTTGCTAACGCACAACGGAAACAGAACTCCCTGTGCACATTTACATACCTGCGCCACCCTGTGTTTCTAGTCAGCATATTTTTTTTGTTGCACTTTCTGGAAAATTCTTGTTGACGTTCCTCGCTAACGAAGCTTCTATGGTTTTTTATCGAACATTCTGTCAATTTCTGGTTGTCCGTTTTGAACTTTTATTTGCGTGTTCGCAGTATTCGCACTCTCCGCGTGGACCATCTTCATCTTGTTTCCAGGTCACCCATCAGTCTGGATTCGGTGCAATACGTCATTCAGCCGTTTGATAACCTTCCCAGTTACACTGTATTTTTGAGTGCAAACTTTTCCTACGTTACGGATTGTACAGAAACACTAAATCTCCTTGGAAACACTCTGACTTCATCGCTTTATCATATCTTATCACTCATAATTTGAGTATGTTGTATTCTTCTCAGTTCCTCTTCTAGGTCTTTGGACATGTCTTTTCCGTTCCAACTTGCATCGCCACTTACATATTTCAATTTTTAGGGCACTAGGCAAACAAGGTTCACTGCCAAAAAAATAACTTTGCAGAAGCTTTACCCGTCGTTGCTCGAGTTTTTTTTTTGGATATCTAGTATCTGTGAAATCCTTTAGAATAACGCCGCTACATATGGCCATGACTTCTGGGTTTCGGTCGTGTAGCTTTGAAAAAAGGACACAGTAGTAGATTAGGTTAGGTTACAGTAGCTGCTGATAGACACACGAGCAATTTACGCCCATATTTGGGACCGCTGTGGTGCCACAAGGGACAAGACAATTTTTTTTTGGAAACAATTAAATATAACAAATTAATAAAAAAAACTTGTAGCCCATTCAAGGTTAGCATAATAAATATCAAGTTTAAAGTAGCTAGGACTTGCCATTGATTTTTGTATTTTTTTTTTTTTGTTGACGGTGTCAGTCATTTTCTTTCCTATCTGCGCTATCGCCAATGCATTATCGTCTTTTAAACAAATAAAAACATCTCTTTTTCAAATTATTTGTACTAAAGCTCCCGTTACATCACATATTTTCTTTTGAAACATCTGCAGTAAATCTCAGGCTTTTATCTAGTAGCAACTGTAATTTTTCGGCTCTCTTTCAAATAACACAAGAAATACAAAGTAAAGCAACTTTCTCTAACTTTATATAAGCACATATAATACTAACACACTACCGACTACGCCCAAAAAAAGTTTGTAATACAATTTTAACTTTATTGTGCTTCTTTTCTATTTCAAGGACACTTAAACAAATTGGAAGCGAAAACGTTGCACGTAAAACACAATAGAAGTGACATACTGCTGCTGCTGTTCGTTTTTTATTTTTATTTTGGAAAAGGCTGCATCGAGCATAGAGCAAAAGTAGAACAAAAGTTTAACAAATTGGTGGAGAACGAACACAATGAACGTGTGCTGCATGGAAAAGACACAATAAATGCAGAAATAGCTGGTGAAAAAAGCGTGTGGCATGCAATTTGCTGAGAGAAGTGAAGAGAGTAAATATAAACTAACGTTAGTTGGTAGCTGAAATATGAAAGGCGATTGCGGCTGAGCATTTGAAGGCATTATACAAATAAGCGAGAACGAATGAATGTGAAGAGATATAGAAATAAAAACATATAGAAATATACGATAAACAATAACGGTGAATGAGTGCGCGTACTTGTCAAGCTTATTTTTAATAATACACGCGTGTGAGTCGAAGACTGCGGTTTACGCGTAGTGTGTGGTGGCAGCGTCGACGACGCCACCCACAATTCCTAAAAAAAGTAGTGTTCCAAAAAAAAATAGAAACTCACTCGATTGTGCTCTTCTTTCTCTTCCTCTTGCGGCTGGTGAAACGCACGCCTCAAAGTGCATTTATTCCAGCATACCATGTCCTCGATATCGGCGCAGGGCGTGGTCGAACGTGCATCCGCTGAACTCTCGAAACGCATTAACGGTCTTGGCCTGCGTTCGAAACATCATCATGGCAGCGGTTCTAATTCGTCCTCCTCCTCCTCTACACAATCCTCTTCTTCGTCTAGTGGTGGTAGTGGCAAAACCTCAGTAATGGAACGTGTCACAAATGCGCTCTGTGGCGGTAGTAGCAGCAGCAACAGCAACAACAATAGCACTAACAACAGCAACAATAGCAGCGCAAGCAACAATTCGAACAGCAACCCAACCGCCACACCCGACAAACCTTCACGCGGCGGTGGTGCTAGTGGCACGCACACTCCCACAGGCGGCCTGTCCGCGCCCTCAAGTCCCACACTCCCTCACAATGTTGGCGTTGTCGGCACTGGCGGCAACATGCAGCTACTGCAGCAACAGCAGTCGGCGCCACAGGCCCAGCAGCCGTCACATCCGCATCAACATTCGCAGCAGCCATCGCCGTCGCCACCGTCACAACATCCACTGCAAACACAGATTGCCAGCTCGACACTGGTGAATTCCAATTCCAATATGATAGGTGGCCCACCGCCTGTGCTTGGCCATCCACTTGGTGCACCACCCGCGCCCACTGTTAACTCGATCGCCAAGCAAATGAACATCACTATACCCGGCCAGCCGCAGTTCACAACCATGGGCTTAGTGGCGGCTCAAAAATCGGTAGCAAATCAATCTGTGAGTGGTGGCACGCCACTGCAGTTGCGCAAGCAACTGCCCAATCCACATCTACATCATCCGTATGCGGGTGGTGGAGTTGGCGGTGTGGGCGGCAGTGTTGCGGGTGTCTTGCCGACGGGCGCTGCTGGCGGCGCTTCAAACGCTTCACAACTGGCCGCTGCCGTTACACAGTCTGCGCTAATTCTGCACAAACACCCGCCTCCCATAACCAGCATTGAGGCGTTGCTGCTCGACGATCGCTTCTTGAATCGCTTTTTCCTTTACTTTTCGTCTTATGAGCGTCGTACGTTGGCTCAGGTTTGCATGAAATGGCGCGACATACTCTATCGCAGTCCGCGTTATTGGTCGGGTCTCTTGCCAACATTGCAATGTCGCGAATTGCGTCAAATACCGAGCTGTGATCGTGTGAAGCTGTATAATTCGTTGATACGTCGCGGTTTTCATGCGCTCGCGTTAGTGGGAGCCTCAGATGAGGATGCGCTCGACGTGGTGCACTCATTCCCGTTAGCCTCCAAGCACATACATTCATTGAGTTTACGCTGTTCGTCGATTAGCGATCGCGGACTGGAGGCATTGCTGGATCATCTGCAGGTAAGTGTTGTATATTATTTTATTTTATCAAGAAAACAACAGCAGGGGTCTGCCTTTGTGACTAGGCTTTGCTTGGCACTTCAATAGCCAACTATTTACAGTGTAATAAGTGCCTGTTTTCCAAGTTTTTATTTACTGAATAAGAACTTTCTATTAGTAAATCATGGGACTAATTTAGACTCAACAAATAAGCGAGTTAAATTCTGTATAATATTTATTGCTCTGCGGTCATTCAAATCATTGAAGGAATAACTGCAAATGGTTTTGGGTCTTCGTCTTGCTGGTGCCAGTCAATGACAGAGAAAGAGGATGCTGCTCGTCCATTCGCCTTTTACTTGAAGCAAGTAACTTGGCAGGCTGTATATGTGTAATTTGGGACTTTCTTCAGGACTCCTCCATTCTGTTTGGTTTTAGTTTTTTCGCGATAATAGAAAACTAATGGTTTTCCAACTCAAAAAAATAAAGGTTCAGGGCCCAGTAACTTGAAGATAACAATAAAGAGATTCCAGAATTATTATAATTTTTCGAGGTGTATTCGAAACTTTGATATTGACTGATATTCCCATACCGACCGATGATCCTATATTCCACATATTTCGGCATAAGTATTGCCAACCAAATTTACAGAACTTTTTCAGCGTACATAAGTTCTTAATAACCTTAACTATTATAGTTTGAAAGTGTACAGAATGTTTCCGTGTTCGACGGTAAACTGAATAAAGTTGAAAGGAATGAGAAAAAGTAATTTGAAGAAAATCGTGAAATTCCACAAATTTCTACCTTACCAACGTGACTGCCGCAGTGCTTTGACCTCTTACGAGTCGAAGTATGAAAGTAAAATACTCATGCTTACACATATACAGGTGCCTATAAAGAGGCTTATATTTGCAAGTACTTCATGTGCCTACCGCATTGTGAAGTACATAATTACTTAGTTATTGTTTGTCTGAGCTACCACTACATATTTGAGTATGTACCATCAACTTGAAATATGTATTTCGCTGCGGACAAGCAATTATACAAGTATGTATATGTAGGTGTGATACTTATACCCATTGGATTAAGTTACCCAGGGAACAATCTCAAAAGTACAATAAAAAATATGTTATTAATGATAAAATCAAATCGCTTAGTTCCATCGTACAGAGTGTACCTGCAAAGTGAGCTCTATGAGAGGTCTGTGATAAGGGATTGAACCCGTGTCAGTGTCTAAATACTTATGGGACTTACATACATGTCAGTCATTCATATTGTCTGTCAAACGACGTCGCGACTGCAACATCTTTCCAGCTGAGATTTATACTGCAGATGTGGCAGGTGGTAGTCTTCTCCTATTCTACCAATAAAAGCCCAGTACCTACTTACTTTGAGTACAATAGGCAGAGTGCCATCCGGACTGGGCGATTTAAAGCTTTAAAAAAAATTCATTTCATACCATTTCTAAGTTGAATGTAACTACATATATATCTCCTGATTTCCAAGAAAATTAATCTCCAAAAGATCTGAAATAGTCTCAGTGTTTGTTTGTCTCCGTGAAGTATCCATCAGGCCTAAAGAGTGGTTAAGTATGACGATTTTTATTTATAGAGCATTGCAAAATCATTTTTGTTTTTATTTTTTGGATCAAAAATTATCGTTAAATATGTATTTTTACTTTTTCGGTCAAACTAAATCGTTATTTTTTTATTTTTATACTTTCGATAATTTTTGACCATTATAAATCGTTTATGATCTGAAAAAATTAAATCTGAAATTATAATATGATACAAACATCAAAAATAACCGTAAAAATTTGACCGAAAAAATAAAAGTTATAAAATAAGTTTTAAATTTGATCGGCAAAATGTAAATCTAAATTTAACTGTTAGGTTATTAAACGCTGGAGAATTATGTGCTGGGCGGGCCCTCCACAATCCATGACCCTGCCTCAAGTGAGGGCAGAGTTCCACTTGCGGGAGTACCACGTGTAGTATAATCCTGAAGTGTATCCATCACATAGTATGACAGTTTAACGGAACTGTCAGGCTGTAGTTTAGCCATGCTGGCGTTGTATCGAAGGGTGATCTTACCATCATCATCCTAATGCACGAACCGATAGAATTTAGTCGCCTTTTACAAGAAGCATACCTTAGTGTCGGAAGAGCTGAAAAAGCGGACTTATCTTACGTCATCTATCAGCTGCTTACTGGGTATTTATATGAATTCAATTTATGTATGTATGTATAATCGGGAATATTCCAACCTCGCGTTCATATAATTGCTTATGGTTTTATTAGTGTGTGTGTGTACGCGCCGCTCTATAGCATGTTGACGCATAATTTAATGGGTCAACATGTTTGGCGGCCTATCATGCGCTGCTTTGGGCGCGAGGACCTGCGGCCGACCGCCAAATGCTTAGCTTCACGTCATTAAAAAACACAAACAAGATCTCATATATGTATACATTTAGTGTACACATAAATACATATTATATGCATAGTCGGACAAATTAACAATAAAGTGGTCTTATAGGAGTCCTTTCTTTTGAGCTTTTGAAGATATAGGGCTTTCATCTTCGATTCTATACTATTTTTTTGTTTGATATCGCCAGAATTTCAAGATTTCCTCAGAAGAACTAAATTTACAGCAAACAAATTTAAATGCACACCAGACCGGTATCTGCCTTGAAATATTTGAGTTATTTAAGGGTACTCTAATACTTGCAAAAGAAAAAACTGAGTGTAAAAGCCCTGCCAGAGATGTTTATGTAGAAGCAATCTTAAATTTCCTACTGGGTGTGCAAAAAGTTTTCCGATATAGGGTTTGGAGCACCTTCCAAAATTTGTTCTCTTGCCGATAGAGGTGCTGGTACCAAACACTACGTTTTTAAGTATGAATTTAGGGGATGCTCATGATACTCATATTTTACTCTAGAAGTATTGTGTACATATATTAAACAAACAATAGGTTAAGCAACCTAAGAACATTCCCAATTTAAGTTATCTAAAAAAATATCGCGAGATCCAGTTGTCATGGCGACAATAGCTTTTTATAAAAATCACCAATTTTTTTTTCCAGTTTCATAGCGATCCAGTAGCGAATTTCAAAGTCATTGAGCACCCTGTATTGGTTATAGTAGAAAATTTAAAGTTGATGTAGACATTACGGGTATCAAAAGGAAAAAAAACTAAGGGGGTGCCTCGTTTTATAGGATAAAATTTTTTTCCCCCATAAAAAAAAGTGGACCACTCTAATGTACATAGATACATATACATACAAATGTGGGTATATCGACCGCTGTATCAAGTATATTTATGTAGGTTTATACACATATTTACTAGTACTATGTGTACATAGATATTGCAGAGTAATACGCATTAAAATGTTCCTACAAAAACAATCACCATATTACCGGAAACCACCGTTCACTGTTACCCACAATCACTGCAACAATAATACAAGAAACCAAGAAGCCCATAAAAAGCATCACCGGCTTTACCATGAAAGTGTCGGAAACTGTTATAGAAAAAGGCAGTGGCACCACATCAAAGTATTGCAACAACATACACACACGAAGGACAGCATTTCCGTGCTTTACAATTGCTTACTAACACAGCTTTTTCACTGTGTTTTCGCTTGCTATTTTAACACACATTCGACAAATGCAAATTTTCTTCTCGGTATTAGTTTTTCCAAGAAATATTTACTTGAGGTATTTAATGATTTTTTAAACAGTCCATTAAATACCAAATATGTGTGTATATCTGTATGTTTGTTCAGAGTCAAACTGGTTACGAGTATGTGGTTCATTGGTTCTTGGAAAGAGCAATTATAGAATTCCATATACTCAGAGTGCGCGCCGTTTCTCCTTCAGAAATAACCTCTGATGATTTCAAAGACTGGAGCATTCGCATTCGTGCGAACGACATGGCAAAATCAAAAAGATTTCACAGAATCTTTCTCATCACATTATGATTATGACAGACTTACAAAGAATGATTTTCGTTCGTCGAGAAAGGGCTTTACCGCTTAATTGCTTATTTACTTACTTGGCAAAAGTGATTCTCTGTTGGATTTCAAGCCTGACCTTGTTATTGATGTTAACAGTTATCGACGTTATCCCTACCAGCAGGTTGGAGAAGTGTTATATTCTTAAAGCAACCCATTCTAGTTTTAAAACCTTTTATAAGTCAGCAAACTTTCAGGGAAAATTTTTTAGTATCAGCCAGCGTTTCAAGATCATAGCAATCACGTACATATTTCGGCAAATGTGTTTCCTCAACCAACGAGCAATGTGATTCCATTGCTCACATGATTCGATGTAATTGAACAGTGCTCTCTGAAGGCCAGAACGAGAGCTGAGTGGCGAATATTTGGCTGTCCGGTCTTTGGTTGTATTGGCATTCTCTTCAGTCGAGCAGAGGGCGCAATTGGGTGAAACGTTAATGAATTTCACTTTGATTGGGATTCGGGCGAGATGCTTGTTGACGAAAGTGAACGATAGTACTAAGCGATGAACTAGATCTTCTGCCACATAGCAACTGAAACAGACATGGCAAGGTCCTATTCTTCTCCTAGCTTTCTCCGTCCCTCGCATTCGAATTTCTTGGATGACGGTGATGTCAGTCTTAGTCTTCACAATGCCATCAACAAGTAGCACAGAGGCACCTTTCCCATTAAGGCGCTGAGCATTCTAATTGCATACCCTCAAATCATTGTTCTTAAAACGTTTGCCGGGGTTGTTATGAAAAGAAGAAGTCTCATCCGAGACACCCTTTACGTATAGATATTATTTTATAATACTACTAAGCAATCAGTTCGCAAATTTTTAATGTGATATTAGTAATGTAATTTATGAGCTCAAATATAAGTAACCTATGTGATTTAAGGTGCGAAATCAAACAAAAATTATAAAATGTGCTATCGTTTAAAATAATTTCCATCAGAATGCTTCGGGAAAATATTAGGATTTAATTGAGCTACTTACTGGCTACGGAAGTCTTCAGATATAATAAATTTTA